GATTGGAAATTAAGTGTTAACGAGCAGTTGGACAGGTCTACCTAATAAAGTGGCCGGTGAGTGTATTTTTTAAGCATTAACTACATGAAATCTTTAAAACAGAATAATTTCACAAACAAAAAAGTGATGTAATTTCTTTTATTACAACCACGTCGTGTCTTTGTTTATAAGTGTTTGCTTAAATTTGTTGTTTTTCTGTCTTACTCGGCTCCTTCTGTCTCCTTTAAGAAGTCGGCCCCCAGGAAGAAGTGTGCAGCCTGTAAGATCGTGGTTCACACCGGCTGCATGGAGCAGCTAGAAAAGGTACGACACACAAACACAAGCTGCTCATCCGTCACGTCTGACAGTCGTTTCTGCAAATTAGATCTCCTACAACCTCGTTCTCGTCCAATTCTGTCGAACCCCATTTGAGCTGTAAATAACAAACGCAGGCCGACACATGAACAGCGTCTTCCTCCTTTCAGATTAACTTCAGATGTAAGCCGACCTTCAGAGAGGGGGGATCCCGATGCCTCAGAGACGTGAGTGTTTTCTGCGTGTTTGGGTGTGCGGCTGTAAATGTGACGAGTCACAGCGTTGTGTGTGTGATTGTCTGACTGCAGAACGTACTGAGACACCACTGGGTTCACAGGCGAAGGCAGGAGGGGAAATGTAAACAGTGTGGAAAGGTGAGTTCACACCGACGCAGACGGGTTCAGAGTATCACCTCTTGATCAACAGGCTGACGGTTTGCTTCTGTTTCTTCAGAGTTTTCAGCAGAAGTTCTTCCACAGTAAAGAAATCATCGCCATCAGCTGTTCTTGGTGTAAACAGGCTGTAAGTAACTCACTACTGTCAACTCATCAAAACGTTCAGTTCATCGTGTTTTCATCAGGTTTATATCTTCTTTTTGTCTCTCATTTTAATTCTTATTACAAGTGGTAAAAACTGACTTAATCCATAAATTATGTTATATTTATTTGAAAGAYAATGCATTAATAAGTGAATACAACAAGTTATCATATACCACAAATGAATACATTTAGCCGTACAAACTCATTTTATTCTGTAGTTCTTTGGCAAGTTACTGATAAAGATACAAATTGATACCAAAAATKAATATATTGCATCATTACAAATCAAAGCATATATATGCCAATACTCTAAAGCTGCTAGCAAAGCTTGATCAGTTAAAACACTGAAACCTTTTCATATTTACAATTTAACAAGTTGAAACTACATCGAGGCTGGCTGAGTTTGAGGCAAGAGACATTTTTATAAGGAAGGGAGGAAAAAAAATCATACGGCCTGTGCTGGAATGACAGGACAAAAAAAAAGAAAAAATACAACAACAGGACTTTGATCGTGTGAGGCTCTGCAGGAAACACTGCACACCAAACTGTACAGTTTTCTGTTGCTTACCGTATTTATTCAAGTAYAATGCGTAAAATTTAATCCATAAAATCACGCACAAAGTTGGGGGGGTAGTACTATACTCGGATAAGTATTTTTACTTATGTTTTTTAACTGAAATATTTGCCTCATTAACAAAATCCCTGAGTCTGGAAATGAAACCACATCGTAAAAAGCGGTTGAAGCGAGCTTACCGCTAAAACTCCTTCGTGCCTCCGAGCGAGATAGTAAAAGATCCAAGCAGGTAACTTGATGTGAAAAAAAAGAAAAAAAGGCAGTCCTGCAGCTAAGTAATGATAACCAACTAATGATTAATGTGCGGCCGGGCCGCTCCTGGAACAACAACAAACATATGGTCGGCTGTAATGGCTGCCGTCTACCGGTGTTCCGTAAAAGTTGGTCTACCTGAAAAAAGTTTCCCCACCAGAGGGGGCGCTTGCGAGACACAGAGGATGAGATTGTTGTTGAGTGAGATTCAAATGCCTTTACTACAGAGGAGGAATACCAGACATTTAATG